TCAGTAGAACACCGCGTGGCCCAAGAACCAATTCAGCATCTCGAAATGACAAGACAGTCAATCCATCTATTCAAAATAACATCATAATAGAAATTGTATATTATATTAGACTATAAATAGCATAGAAACTTACCAATGACTCTTTGAACATACGAAATCCCTTCAACGAAATAACGTCTGCCGGCCCCTAATCCAGCGTTCAAATCCGCTGAATCAACAATCAAAGTCTTATCGAATGCTGTTTCTAATATCTGATCTGCACACAATTTCAAGTCTTGAGCCCGATTTAAACGATCAGTTTCCTCGTCAATCTTCGAACTTAAAACGCATTTTGTTCCCTCTAGCAACGCACATTCCTCCCCCATCTTGGTAATTCGTGCACGTTTCGCACGCACTTCACGTTCCATCCCTTGCAATTCTGCTTCCGCAACGTAATCACTTCGAATTAACTAAAAATAATAAAACAATGAGACTTCTCTTGTAGAAAACCTAAAGAAATCAGAGATAAACACAACACAATACCCGTAGGAATTTTTCAAGACGTTCACGCTGCCCAACAGTTAATGGACCCAATTGATCTTGTAACTCTGATGTTGGAGATAACGTTTTTTGAAGAATCTTTTCAGCCTCCGCTACGTCATCACGTGATCGCTTTGCACGAACTTGGACATCGATTACCTTCATCTTGTCCAACAACTCGTTCAGCTCGTCTACGAAGCGAAGAAAACAAAACAGGCTAAAATTGATGCAAACACCGACAAAAGGATGAGCAACTCAAGTACCACTGATATCTTTCTTCGACGCTTCAAGAACTTCAGCATCATTCCGAACACCAGATGCCATGCCGCCCACAACGCGCCTTGACTCCATTGCGCACAGCAAAAACTACGATTGTACCGAAACGAAACGATCTTTGAAATGTCTTTGACCTCTTTCTATTTTCACTCTCAGTCTTCCGCCTAAACACGAACAAAAAAGATACCACATGAACCGAAAACGAAAGCATCAATACGACGAAAAAAAAAAACGACATCGAAATCAAATTACTAACAAATCACTGGTACCAACTTCTTCCTTGTCTTCCTGACTCGATCTGGCCAGTCGAAACAGGAAGACCTGATCTTGGGAACACTTTCACTCTGTAAGCTTCCATCTTTTCACTTTCTTCTCGTTCGAGTACACTAGCTTCCCATCAAATCTTCTAGAAAATTCGTCGACATGCCCTCTGTGCTATACTTCTTTATTTTTTCCAGCGACATCTGTCGATGCCGTTGTCAAAAAGAGGGGGGTTTTTGTGGGGCACAGAGAACATGTCCCACGGAATAACAAGATTACGCGCGACAAGAAATAAATAAAATCAAGAATGCAAGGAATGCAGACTCTACGTGGTAACGGGGAATTCCTTTGGAAGTCCCCGCTATTGTGGGGCACAGAGAACATGTCCCACGGAATAACAAGATTACGCGCGACAAGAAATAAATAAAATCAAGAATGCAAGGAATGCAGACTCTACGCGGTAACGGGGAATTCCTTTGGAAGTCCCCGCTGCCGTGAAATTGCGCAATGCAAATTCTTCCGTTCTTGCTTCGCGTAATGATTTAATTCATGCATTCAGTTCGCAGATCTCGAAGCGTTCGGTTGCGTTGAGAATTGAGAATTGTGTTCCTATTATTTGCCCTGATCTGTTGTCATTTTACCATTCTTGATCATTTTCTGTGTCTTTTAATTCTTTCTGCTTGAAATACAATTTATTCTATCCTTTGAAGATTCCACCGAGAATCTTCACGCCGTGTTCCCTGGCGGATTGTGAATTCCGTTTATTTATTCAACTTATAGTTATTTATATTCTTTGTGGGCATATTGCCCTACACATGTGTTAACATTATCGCTCTCTCTCTCTATATGAGGAATACGAAAGTTCTTTCATGAACAAATGAAAGAATGGTACATTTACGTAGTACATGCAGTAATGCATTACTTCTTCACTTGGTCCAAGCCCTGATTTTTCTAGATGTTTCTTGGAAAATAGGGAGAAAAATCTTTTGTTGTCCAGGGAAATATTTACGCCAGCGTGTGCAATCTAGAATATGAAATCCTTCGAAACACTCTTCTCACTTTTTCGAGGGCGGTCGTGGGAATTCTGACATAACATTTCAGAAAAAAAAGAAGAAAGAAATGATCACGGAATTACGTCACTGCCCGCAGAAATGTTCCCCTTCCATCGTGAAATCACGGCCATCTGCTGGTAGCCCCAAAATAAAGCGCGTTTTTATCGCCGAATAAACACGCGAACGAATATACATATACAGTACCAATATATTTATTCAGACACGAAGCTTAATAAGTTTGATAAAACAAATTCTTCTATTTTCAGATATATCGTTCATTAAATTGTAAACGCACTTTCTAGAAATATGCTTGTTTTTTTCGAGTTTGATTTGGGCGGAGGAAATTCCTGCAGCTGATCTTCGTTTACAATCATGTCTATCATTATTGATTTGCATGAACTAATGATGATTAAGTTACCATCCATAAAAAAGGGGAAACTGAAAACATTCGCTGGATTGATTATTCTACTTGGATTTTGAATAAAGATGTTTGTACCTCGTACAGAATTTGGTTTTATTTGTGTAGAAGTGTTGTAGAAAATTCCATTAATCATATGGTTTTTCAACTATGATCTTCATCGAAATACAGTAACTCCAAATATCTGATGCTGGCGTATAATTTAAAAGACTACGTTCTACGTATGAATGAACTGATGCGTGGATTGATTAAAAACTTCGATATGACATCAAATAGAAAA